AAATTCCGCGTCGTCGACTAGCTGGGCATTGATAACTTGTAAAGAATAGTCACCTGCACAGAAATATCTTTTTTTTTTTCAAATAAATCTACTGAAATTATTTTTTCAAGCTATGGTCATGTGACCAGTAGTTTACATATTTAAAAAATATCACGCCATCTATATATTTTCTGATTTTCTAACCCTTCATCCTTATTTAAGACGAAATTATTTTTATTGTATTTCTATAGTTTCTCTAATATTTCTAGCCGTCATGTTATTCAGTTGAGTCAAAATGAAGAGTTTTCACTTATATTTTTAACATTTCTCTTATGTTCATTTATTCTAAATTTAAATTTCTTCTAGTTTGACCTATGTGTGCACAACCACATTCACATTCAATTTGAGTATTTTTATATATTTTGAATATTTACACAAGTTCCTTGAATTTTAACCGTTTAATCATATAATTTTATTTCAATATGTTTACGTATACGGATAGAAAAGAAAATATTTAAAGAGTTTATGTGTTAATATAAATTTAAAATTCCTCACTGATTCATGTGTGTTTTTCTTTTACCTGATTATGATATTCCTTACCTTCTTCATCGTTGCCAACCATTGTATACCGGGGAAACCCGATTAGTTCACGATCAGATCCGAGACCGAATCCATCTCTTGTCCACTGTAGCATCCCTACCTTGTTCTGGACACGACAAGGAAGAAGGATATCTTCTCCTAAAATAACCATCTTGTCTTTTGGTTCCCTGAGAAATGTCTGTTGAGTGAAGTCTAGTTCAAACGGAGAAACAAAAAAATACATTTATATCTAAAACTCATATGCTATTATCTTGATAATACTTATTTTCTTAAGATGTGTTTATGAGGGCATGTTATAAATGACTCATTTCTAAGACATTGACTTAAGCCTATTAGCCATAAAGCTTATCCCATCGCATAATTTCTGGTATTCCACACTCAAGTAAAAAGAGATATCGATAATTAGAGAAATTTTACTTTTTTGGAAAACTTAAAGAATACTTTTAGCAGAAACTAATCACTTTATTGAACATGCATGTCAATACCTTTTCACAAATAAATACAAATACTTTTAGCAGAAACTAATCACTTTATTGAGCATGCATGTCAATACCTTTTCACAAATAAAGGAAAATACTTTTAGCAGAAACTAATCACTTTATTGAACGTGCCTATCAATAACTTTTCACAAATAAAAATTACTTTTAGCAGAAACTAATCACTTTATTGAACGTGCCTGTCAATAACTTTTCACAAATGAATAAAGATCTATAAATAACAACGAGCATATCGAAAACTAAGAAATATAGAACATTGTAAGGCATCTTAAAGAAACACCTGCCACGCGAGCCAGCCCGGCATCTTGATGTGAGTTCAAAAGAAAGAGTCATTCCAGAAATGTTTGATTTGTTTTGATTAGACGAAAAGTGGACGTTTAGCACTATTTTAGAGATCTAGGTCACTGGACTTGACTCGAGACCATGAGAGTTAACATGGAGATTTAAATTGTAAATGTAAAGTTTGGTTGGGATTTTTGAATTTCGCGCTAGCCATCCCTAATTTAGCAGTATAAGACTAGAGGGAAGGCAGCCAGTCATCACCACCCATCGTCAACTCTTGGGTTACTCTTTTACTAACGGATAGTGCGATTGACCGTCACATTATAACGCCCTCACGGCTGAAAGGGTGAGCATGTTTGGTGGGACGGGAATTCGAACCCGCAACCCGCAGATTGCGAGTCGAGCGCTCTAACCACCTGGCCATGACGGGCCTAAATGTAAAGATAAACGATGTAGCAATGAAGCATGCTTGAAATGTTTTAGATGTGGTTGTGAATGTCATGGTTTAAGTATAGCGAGTAAGTTAAACCGTAATTCAGGTCGGATGAGGGAAGAACTTATTCGAGGATATCCCAATCGATTTGACATATCAGCTAAACTGGAGATTAGTCAGTTTATTACTAGATTGACAGTGAAACGCAAATAATGGTCACAATGGTATCGTTAACCTCAAAGACGGGGGATTGGAATCACGTGTAAGAAATCATTAGTTTAAGTATTTTGTAAAACTAACGGCACAGTAAAGCTCAAAGATGCAGTGTTGAAGTTGAAACAGACGAAGCGATTCTCAGATTTAAAATGACTATATCTGCTTTGAAACAGACGAAGCGATTCTCAGATTAAAAATGCCATATCTGCTTTGAAACAGACGAAGCGATTCTCAGATTTAAAATGCTATATCTGCTTTGACTTGAGGAATAAAATAAAAACCAAAAATGCACTTGCAACCACAGAAATTATAATGTTTCTTTCTGGGTAATTCGAACCGTACACAATTGTTTAATATTAACGTACATGATGTTGAAGTATACAATCTAACATATTATTCTCGTATAAGTTTATTGTATTATATCTTGGAAATTTTGATGACAATTGAACAACGGATTCTCTTTCAATGTCTGTATGTTCGTCGCATGTGAAACTTCATTGTAATTTATTAGAAAAGCAGATATAACACAATAGTTACTCTTACTCAACCACAAAGTGTTTTATATTAAGCAAACTCCCACACTTGTGCCCCCCAGTGGCACAGCGGTATGTCTGCGGACTTACAACGCTAGAAACCGGGTTTCGATACCCGTGATGGGCAGAGCACAGATAGCCCATTGTGTAGCTTTGTGCTTAATTAAAAACAAAACCCACACTTGTAATTCTCGGTGTGAGTGTGGAGAATCGAGGAATATTTCTGGTATCTTAGCCTCAAACGACGTTTAAAAAATATGCTCATTCAAGATAAAATTAAGTACATAACACAGAAAAAAAATCTCAATGGAAAACACTTATGATTAAATAAATGGATTCTCAACGGAATTAGCATTAAGGCTAGTACATTACTTCACTATTCAATTTTATAAAGATTTTTAAGTTGAGAAATATATTTTCTTGAGACAGCTAGTTTGAAAGATGGTATAGGTACTTGAAAAGAGAAGATAACCAGATAATTGTCCGGCTACGCATAGCGTAATGGTTAGCGTGCTGGGCTGCGGGTCAAGGGAAAAAAGATTTAAACTCTCAATTGTGCTCAAGTTATGAAAATATTCCGCTATTCAATGAAGAGTATCTGTACATGCGACAAATACTCCTAATTGGTTTACCTCTGTCTGATTAACAGTTATAGATCAGGGACAGCAATGCATACGCCTTACGCCCTAGCCGTTACGCACACGTGTTGTACAAGGCACCAAATACCAAGACAATTCTGATTTACTTAATATGCACACACGCACGTAGAGGGCTTATCAGGTTTACTGAGATACGACAGCCATAATAGTGGTTTAGGCACTATTTATATCATCAGTTTTCATGAACAACGACTGTTATGTTGTGAACTAGATCAAGTAAGTGAATTGTAATTATTATTAATTTTATGTTAGCAAGACGTCAAATAAGTATAAACATGATAATCACATCTGATGCTATGGAAATGTAAATAGCGTTTACAAGCTTTATGTATCGCAATGAAACTTAGTTTTATATAAATCTACCTACCATGTTGGCGATAAAACTTTGGAACACATCAACATAAACTAATATTTCACATTAGTATTCACACATACAGGAGTTTTGTGGTGCATGGTACTTTGTAGAGAATTGCTGTACCACGGTGGGATAGCGGAAAGCTTGCGAATATACAAGGCTATAATCCGTGGTTCGATCCCCCTGGTAGACACAACAAATAGCTCAGTTTGGCTTTCATATAAAGAAACAATCATAGAATTGAGAAAGCATTGAAAGTGAAACAAACAAACATAGAAGTTCTAAGCCATTGAAGGTGTCACAGTCAAACACAGAATTGCTAAAGCATTGAAAGTGCAACAAACAAACATAGAATTACTAAACATTGAAATCGAAATAAATAAACATAGAACAACTAAACTATTGAAAGTGCAACAAAGAAACATAGAATTACTAAAGCATTGAAATTGAAACAAAAAAACATAGAACTGCTAAACCCTTGAAAGTGCAACAAACAAACATAGAATTGCTAAGGCATTGAAAGTGCAACAAACAAACATAGAATTACTGAAGCATTGAAAGTGCAACAAACAAACATAGAATTACTGAAGCATTGAAAGTGCAACAAACAAACATAGAATTACTGAAGCATTGAAAGTGCAACAAACAAACATAGAATTACTGAAGCATTGAAAGTGCAACAAACAAACATAGAATTGCTAAATATTGAAAGTGCAACAAATAAACAGATAGTGATTGATAGTGAAACAAACTGGTTTTCAGTTATCCTTCCGAATGTACAGTGTGAAGATAATTTGTAAATAACATTATTTAAATACAGTTTTCATAACATTGCTATTCTAAAGAAAATGACAGATTAATAAAACTTTCATGAAGAACTTATTTGATTACACATATTAATTTGTGACATTCTGATACAAAAGTAAAAAACAAGTTTTTTTTTCTTCTCAGTAATACGTGAAACCCAATGAGCGGAAAATGACGTATTTGACAAACACAACCTAGACGTCTGCAAAGTAGGTTTATCGATCAAGATAACGAATGGACGGTCAGTGCTGCTAAATTAATATTGACAGATGATTCATTGCTATGCTTTCATATCAAAACAAGCATCTAGAAACCTTGGCCTCTTTTGAGAGGTGGTCGAGTCTAACCTGCCTTAAACAGATTGTTTTTGTTTACAGCGATATGACAGTAATATTAACAAACTTAATAAAAATCAACAGCTTATCGCAAGATGGTTTATCTTGAAACATTACTGATTAAAAAATAAATAACGTTTTGTGAAGTTAATTCTTTGATACTTAAGACTGCATGCTTTGAAACTATCTTTATGGCTAAAACTTAATGACCATACAAATTGAACGTCCTCGTGATAATTATTGTTGTTGTTTAAACGGTAGTGTTGCTAAACAAAGGTAGAGTTTATATGCATGAATGTTGGTTAATATATTTGGCTATGCTAGTTTATATAATATTACTACACACTTTACATGTCAAAATATCGTTTCAAGAATCGAATTATTCTAATTTTGTTTAACATTTTACTTTCAAATACGTCACACTTCAAAGATTACTACTCATATGCGATACGCATATTCTATTTGCATTAATATTTCTTAAACGTCGTTCTTTTATTTTCAGTCTTACAATACATCATATTTCCTGATGAATCCAACAGTTGTGAGTCAACAAGTCTTAAAATATAGTTGGCATGATTTTACTTTCGTGTTATATTTATGCCTCTCTTAACTATCGTGTATTTAACACGCATATTGTTTAAAGTAGAAAGTGAGGATAAACCGAGCTCTGAAACTATGCAAACTTGTTTTATAAGCCACACTTGTGCAATACACTTGTATATTGTTTTTTTCTTCACTTGCTCGGAATATACGATGCTGTTTATAAAGTGTTTCCTGTTATTGTATCTTAGAAAATTGTTATGTAATCTCTGAGAAAATTTTAAATGTAAGCTATAAGTTAAAGCACATTTTCAAAATATGAATGCTATTAAGTACAGTGTGTATAGGAAATTAAGCTTCCTGACATTGATTGATGAACTCATATTTTCAGCAATGGGTCGAGAAATATTCAAGGACTCAATTAGCGACGAATTCAATTAAACTTTCTTGCTACAAGAGTTGTATATCACATCAAAACAGTGATGGGTCTGGTTGACACACGTGCACAGGATAAAGGTATATCACATCAAAACAG